ACTGTTTGTAGACTAAGCTTAAACGTTTGTGAGATGGTGTGCTGAGTAGGTTTCTGGGGTTAGCGAGAGTTGATACAGTAAGGTTCTGGATTGTGAAAATTGCTGGTAAAGCTATGGCGGCAGGAGCATTAGAATTGCACAGAAAGCATGAGTAAATGGGAACGGTGCCCGCCCCCCACGCCCACCCCACCAGCACCCTTTGATTCTGTACTCCATCCCCACCAGACTGGACCTGGGCTGAGGGCTCAGGCCCGGGACCCTCTGAGCCATCAGGGCTGGCCTCTCCCAACCGTTACCGTGGGCCTGCACGCTGGGTGCCCCCGCGCTGGGCCCAGGGCACCCCTGAGCTGGAGCAGGAGCGGCGGCACCGGCAGATCGTGTCCTGGTTCGCCGACCACCCCCGGGCCCCCTTTGGCCTGCACCGGCTGGTGGAGCTTGGGCAGAGCTCAGGCAAGAAGGCAGGGGACTGGTATGGGCCGTCTCTGGTGGCACACATACTCAGGTGAGGGCCGTTGCAGGGGACACGGGAGCCACTGGGTTCCCACAGGCACTCAGGCCTTCCCTGTCCCCCGCCAGGAAGGCTGTGGAGAGCTGCTCGGAGGTCACCCGCCTGGTGGTGTATGTTTCTCAGGACTGCACAGGTAAGAGACTGGAAACCAAGGTCCCAGAGTTGTCACCCTGAGCCGGTCACTACCTACCTTCCTGGGGCAGAGGAAGCCTGGGAAAGGATTTGAGACCCACACAGGGGAAGTAGGAGGTGCTCAGGATCCCCCACGGCCTCTGGAACCAGGATAGGAAACGTTAGGGGCTTCTCGGCAAGTGGAGAAGAGAAGATATAAGGGCTTCCCTCTCTCGGGTCCAATTTACTCTTACTCTGTAAATAATTTTAACACGTACAAAAGTCTGCTCTCTGCCGCAAGGGATTGTAGTGAGGATTGAGTCAATAATACAAGTTAAACTCTTAGAGCAGGGCTTGTCACACAGTGAGTGTTAGCTAAATATTATTATTATTATTGTTCCCCACTCTCCTCCAAATCTGTTTTTTGGGTTTTTTTTTTTTTAAGATTTTATTTGTTGGGGCGCCTGGGTGGCTCAATGGGTTAAGCCTCTGCCTTCAGCCCAGGTCATGATCTCAGGGTCCTGGAATCGAGCCCCGCATCGGGCTTTCTGCTAAGAGGGAGTCTGCTTCCCCCTCTCTCTCTGCCTACTTGTGATCTTTCTCTGTCAAATAAGTAAAATCTTAAAAAAAAATTTTTTTTTGTTTATTTGATAGAGAAAGAGAGAGAGTACAAGCAGGGGGAGTGGCAGGCAGAGGGAAAGGCTGAAGCAGACTTCCTGCTGAGCAGGGAGCCCAACTTGGGACTCAATCCCAGGACTCTTGGGATCATGACCTGAGCCAAAGGCAGAGGCTTAATCGACTGAGCCACCCAGGCGCCCCTCCTCCAAATCAGTTTAGATAGGGTCTTCATTAATAGGAACCTTAATGGAGTTAGAGAATCTACAAAACCTATAAATTTTTATATAAAATTATAGACATTTAGACATGTAGACAATATTTGATTTTCACAGATGACCAGTATCTTAGTCTCTTTGGGCTGCTGTACCAAAAATGCCACAGACAGGATAGCCTATAAATAATAGGAACTTATTTCTCATTGTTCTGGGGGCTGGGAAGTCCCCGATCAAGGCACCAGCAGATTCGGTGTCTGGTGGGGACCCACTTCCTAGTTCATTTTGCCACCTTCTCACATGATGGAAGGGGCAGGTGAGCTCTCTGGGGTCCTTTTTATACAGGCACTAATTCCACTCATGAGGATTCTATCTTCATGACCCAGTCCCCCCACAAAGGCCCCACCTCTTAATACCATCACTTTGGGGATTTAAATTTCAGCATCTGAGTGTTGGGGGGACTCAAGCATTCAGGCCATAGCAGCTCTGTTTCCAGAAGGGGTTGAATCCGCTTTTCTGGAGGCCAGGAGGGGGCTTACTTAGCAGTGAGGGAAGAGGTACCCAGAGCTCCCATTTCCATATTGGCAAAGTCACGCGCTGAGTAAGTAAATACTAACCAGGCCCTGGAACTGGGGAGGTGCTCTGGGCTGCGGGGAAGGCTCTCTGCCTCCCCCTGGTCTTATGTTCTTCATCAAAATCGTAGGGCCTCAGTTGTCCTCTCTGTAAAATGGAGATGTCTGCACCTGCCCCGAGGCCCTGGAATCCTCGAGGGGAGAGTTTGGGTGGGTGGGGCACCCGAAAGACCTCCTTCTCCGCTGATGACAGGAGTGGCACCCTACGAGGTGGCACAGGCATGTGGAGGGCCACTCTCCAAGGCCTGAAGGGTGGATAGGAACGTGACCTGCTGCATCGTCTTCCCAGTGTACAAGGCAGATGTGGCACGCCTGGTGGCCAGGCCGGACCCCACAGCTGAATGGAAGTCCGTGGTCATCTTGGTGCCGGTGCGGCTGGGTGGCGAGACTCTCAACCCCGTGTACGTGCCCTGTGTGAAGGTAGGTGCTGTCAAGTTCCACTAAGCCTCCCCTGGGAACTGCGCCAGCTTCTGTAGCTTGGGTGAGGTGTTTCTGCTGCCTTCATCTGTCCCATCTGTTTGTTCAGTAGTCAGGGAGCACCTAGTAGGTGCCAAACACCGTCCCAGCAGCTGGGTTTCAGAGGGGAAGAGGCAAACATTCGTGCCCTCTGGGATTAGACATTCTACTGGAGGATGGATAGACAGTGGGGGTCTAAAACCAAACTGACAGCTGTGGCATTATGCCTTAGATAATAGAGGAATGAAAACTAACACTGGGAGGGGCAGAAGGGGGTGGCTGCAGCCTAGGAAAGCCCCTCTCCAGCTAAGGCAGATGAGGAGCCAGGGCGCTCCAGGCAAAAGGAATGGCAAAGCTGGAAAAACCCTGGGTTGTTTTTACTCAGAATAAAGGCCAAAGTTCTCCGTACAGCCTGCAAGGCTTTGTACCATGCCCCTGCCCATGCCTTGACCTCATCTGCCCCCACTCTCCTTCCCACTTCTCTCTGCCCCACCACAGGAACCTCCTCACCTTTCTCAGAATACACTGGCCTCAGGGCCATTGCACTCACTGTTCCAGCTGCTTGGAGTGCTCTTTCCCCAGATGCACTCCTAACTCCCTCTTACCTCCTTCAGATCTTTGCTGCAATGTCACCTCAGTGAGGCCTTTCTGACTCCCCTACTTAAAATTGCAAAGCCCTTTTCCCTTCTTTATTCTTCCAGTGTTATTGCCTACGGACATGTGGCAAAACTTGTCTTATTCCTTGTTCATCTCCTACACTGGAGTATCAGCTCAAGAGGGGGCTGGGTTTGCACACATTGAGGGTTTGCCAAGTGCTTCTCTAGGGCCTGACAGCACCTGCCCAGAGTGTACTCCTATGCCCACTTTTCTCCCTGCAGGAGCTCCTGCGTTCCGAGCTGTGCCTGGGCATCATGGGGGGCAAGCCACGGCATTCACTGTACTTCATCGGCTACCAGGGTAAGCCCACCCCATTCCAACCCCCCCACCTCCCCCTTTCTCAGCTCCCCTCATGCCTCCACCCCTGCAGACGACTTCCTGCTCTACCTGGACCCCCACTACTGCCAGCCCACCGTGGATGTCACTCAGGCTGACTTCCCCCCTGGAGGTAAGCCAGGTGGGATCCCCAGGATGGGGCTGGGGAAGGTGGAGGGGGGCTGGGGCCCTGAGCTTCCCTCATTTGTATGCCCCAGTCCTTCCACTGCACCTCACCCCGAAAGATGGCCTTCGCCAAGATGGACCCGAGCTGTACAGTGGGGTTCTATGCTGGAGACCAGAAGGAGTTTGAGACACTCTGCTCAGAGCTAACCAGGGTGAGCCAGGAGTGGTGGAGGGCAGAGGGCAAGGGGCAGTGATGGGGAGAAGAGGAACAGAGAGACCTTGAGTCCCACAGACCTGGGGAATCAAGATTGTTATCCTACCCACAAGCTACAAAAGACCAGATAGGACTGATTGGACCAAAACAAGGGCAGGAGATGAAAAGTTGGGGACATTATTGCTTGAAGGACAGCTGCATCCATGAGCTCAAGCAGTAGAAACTGTCCCATCAGGGCTTTACCCTTAGAGTGGCAAGGGGCACCCACCCCCTATTCAGTGGAAAGGGAGCCCTACTTTCCCAGAGTTGCAGCAAAAACCCTAGGGCTGCTGCTCATTGGCCACTCTGGATCACGTGCCTATTGTGGTGGGGAACAGGAGGCACTGATTGGCTGGCCTGGGTCACTGCCCTGGAGGGATGAGAGTTGAGCTCAGGAAGCACCTGGTAAATGCACCCATTAGGATAATTACACCTATAGAACAAATATGGTTTAGGGCTAAACCATGCTCTCCCTCCTCCCGCCAGGTCCTCAGCTCCTCCTCAGCCACTGAGCGCTACCCCATGTTCACCCTGGCTGAGGGCCATGCTCAGGACCACAGCCTGGACGACCTCTGCTCCCAGCTCTCCCAGCCAACACTGCGGCTCCCTCGCACAGGGAGGCTCCTCAAGGCCAAACGCCCGAGCTCGGAGGACTTCGTGTTTTTATAACGGGTGGGGTTGGGGGAGATGAGCACTATTTATTTTTTTATTTATGTCATGCTGGGTGTGGGAGCTTGAAACCTGGAGGTGATGGGTCTTCCCCTTCTCACCCCCTTGACAAGTGCAGCTGAGACCAGTCCAGGAAACCTCAGAACTGGGGGCCCCCTAGGCAGGGGCAGTCCGCCTGCCTCTGGCCAGCTGGGCCCTCCGCCCAGGGCAGGGAGGGAGGGCTCCCAGACACCCACTCAGGGCCTGACTCTAGTACTGTAGTTTGCACTGGACCACCCGTGCCCCTCACTGGTCCCAAAGCCCCTACCCTGCTGAGGTCTAGGGGCGGTGGGGGGAACTGTGGCCACTGGGGGCTAATAAAGCCGTTTAACTTGACTGTGGCTGTGGCTGGCCCAGCATTTGAGGGACAGGGTCCAAGGTGTGTGTCAAGGGGAGACGGCGGGGGAAGCTTGTTAGTTAGGCCCCGGCTTCCAGATCTGTGAGACAGCAAGACTTCTCTGCCCACGGGCGGACACATGGTCCACACAGTCCGTGAGGGAGACGCATCCAGGAGCTGACTGGAAGGGAGGGACCCCAGAGCCTCTGGCTGCTTCCTAGAGCTCAAGGGCCGCTCTTGGGACCCTGGGGCTTCCTCCGTTGCCGGCCCAGCTGGCGGAAGTGCAGCCGTTTGGCGTTGAGCCCAAAGGCCTGCAGTCTCTGGCGGCTGAACTCCCGCCCACCGAGTGTCACGGTGGGGCCCAGGAGACGTGCCTTCTTGCCCCTCCTCCGCCTCTGGGGCACTGGCTTCTGTGTGTGTGACACGGGGCCTGCTTCTTCCTGTGCTGGGGGGCTCCCGGGCTGGGCCTGCTTCCTGCTAGCCCCATCAGGTGCCAGCAGCTGTCCCTGCGGGCCATCTTTGTCTCTCTGTGGCTTTCCTGTGGCTTCCGAAAGTGTCTCCATCCTGAGGAGAAAAGTGGGGGCTCAGCCCAAGTTGGTCACGATTAGGCCAATTCCTGAGTACACCTCCCCCATTTTACAGATGAGGAAAGGAGAGGCTCACAGAGGCAAGGCGCCAAATCAGGGGCCTGTCTGGGGTTCAAACCCAAGTCTGACACCAAAACTGGGCCTTTTCTCTTGAACTCCAAGACTCGATGGTACTGCTGATCACTGTGGCATTTTGAGCCTGGACCTATACTAAGCTGTTCATGGAAAGCACCTTTAAATCAGCTCTGGGAGGTTCTATCAGCCCTGCTTTATAGATCAGGAAATAATGGGCACAATAATAATAACTACTAATACCCTTACGGTATTTCCTATGTTCTACGCACTTTACATGAATGAATTCACTTAATCCTCAAAAACCCAACAAGAAACGAGCCATCTTTACTCCCTACCTGCATTTTTAAAATAAGGAAACAGGCCCAGAAAGGGCAAAGGTCTTGCCCAAGGCCACACAGCTGTGGCTGGCCAGAATCTGAACCCAGGGATGGAGAAAGGAAGCCCCATTCCCGGGGCCACACAACAGATGGCTGACAGAGCGCGCGGCAAGCCCAGGCCTGGCAGGCAGGGGATACTCACTCCTCTGGGCAAAGTGACTTGAAGATCTGCCTCTTTTTCCATAAGTTCTGGGCCTTCTGGCTGTACGCCCGCTTGTCCTGCAGCTCCTCCTGCTCTGACCTGCGGCGTCCAGCAGACACGCCTGTCGTGGGGAGCTCTGGGAGGTGCCCCCACCTGCTAGGCCCTCCCCCTGGCCGACCTGGCCCGGCCCTGTCACCTGTACATGCAGGTTTTCTTCAGGGAGCACCACCGGTTCAGCTCCTTGTCATCGGCAGCGAGGATCTGCACAGGAAGGGAGGGTGGGGGCCCACGTGTGAGCCCCGGGTCGGGGGTGGGGGGGCCCAGCTCACTCGCTCTCAGCTTTGGCCGCCTCACTAGTCAAAGGCGGGTCATGCTACTCCCACTCAGCAGGGACCATAGCAGGAGAGGACTGATTGCTGTGGGGGCCACTGGAAGGTTTTGGCAGTGGGGATCAAATGGGGAAACTGAGGCTCGACCAGGAGATCATTGCCCAAGTCACGTGATCGCGAAGTGGCTGATTTCAGATTCCAGTTTGGGTCCGGGGTGCCTGCACCTCACTGGGGCACCACGGTCCCAGTAACCTCAGGACAGGCAGGCGCTCCGCACCGATGGCCGTGTGTGCCAATGACAGGTGAGGCCTCACCCACAGAAACTACCGATGATGCCGGGAAGACTGAGCAAGCGCAGCAGGCCCGAGCTGCATAAACGTGGGCTTGGCTGGCCGTGACAGGTGAGGCCCCCGCAGCCCCCACGGCTAAGGGGCCATCGGCGCTGCAAGAGCCACACACACACACCTTGGCTCCATAGCCAGGGTTGGGGGGGCTATTAGCCCATTTTACAGTCAGGGAAACGGAGGCACAGCATTCTAGGTCATAATTGGTGAGTGGCCACAGCCAGATTTGAACCCGGGCATCTGTTTCCAGAGCCCACCCAGTCCTAACGGCCACCCAACCGCTGATATTTGGTAACAGATTTAAAAATAGTATTTATAGCGTGTCCTGTGGGCCTCAGAGGCCGGCCATTGGGTTCCACAGAAGGAACGGGGGTCGCAGTATCTGCTGGCTGCACACGCCCCCTTGCCCGCAAGGCGCACCCCCACCCCCCCAGGAGCACCACTGTGGGGTCCCACCTCCTCAGTGCTCAGCCCAAAGTCGCAGGGAACCACGGTGCGGTACTTAAAGCGACAGGGCAGGTCGTCAATGATGTCCTCGTAGTCCAGCCGGTAATACTCGTCCAGGTACTCCTCGAACGTCTTGTTGCCTGCGCAGGGAGGGAGCCAGGCTGCTGGGGTGTGCCGGGCCCGCCGAGCCCCTGCCCGCCCCCGCCCCCACCCGGGTCTCACCAGGCTCAAACACTGGCTTCTCCTGCCCCACGGCTGCAGCAAAGGGGGACTTCCGCTTCTTCTTGCCCGTCTGGGGGGCCTCGCGCAGCTTCTTCCGCGGCTGGCTGGGGTCGTAGTCAGCGTCCATCTGCCGAGATGCAAAGGTCAAGCCAGCCCTCACTCGGGGGGGGGGGGGGGGCTCATCCCTCGGGGTCCCCCGCTCCGCCCATGGCACCTACATTGAAGTCAGGGTCCTCGCAGTGCAGCTCCTGGTCCCAACCTCCAGCCTGCTCAGTCCCAGCCCATGTGTCCCAGTTCCAGTCATCTGGTCCCAGAGGACACAGAGGTAGGGGGTCAGGGCGGAACTCTGGACTTCAGACACAGCAGCTCCCCCAGGCTGGTGCCCCCGGTGACCTCACCTTCAAGCCCTTCCTCCTCCTCAAACTGCGGCTTCTCCTGCTCCACAGTGCCATAGTACTCGTCCCCAAAACATCTCTGCAGGATCAGGGCCAGGAGGCTCAGTAAGGCCCACTCCCCCAGACCGCCTCACTCTCACACCTTACATGGCTCCCAGCATCCCCCAGACCTCGCTGCTGACGTGAGAGGAGCCCGGTTGTCCAGGCCCCTCTGTGCCCCAGTACCCTCCCCTGCTGCTCCACAGAGCCATGGTTCTTCCCCTCCCACAGGCCTTTGCCCCCAAAATACCCCCTGCCTGGTGCACCCCTCCCTCCTTGGCTGCCAAGCTGCGGCTCAGGCCTCAGCTGCCCGCCTTGACCCGCTCATCACCACGCCCGACAGTCGACTGGGGACTCCTCTCAGACCTCACCTCCCCCTGAAAGTCCCCGTCACCACTCTGATCGCTGGGGGTTGTAACTGTACAGTTAAGGGCCTGCCATCAGACCCAGAGCTCTGGGAGGGCAGGGGCCGCTCTGTGACCTGGTGCTCGGTGACCACGAGGCTGACTGTGTCATTTATTAAGCACCTACTGTATGCCCAATGCTGGGCTGCAACTCACTGCATTCTCACAAGCACCCCAAGAGACAAAAATGACCTCCATTTCACTGAGAAACTAAAGCCTATGCAGCCTTGGTCTCCTCCCCTCACCTCCAGGCTTGGTCAGGCGTCTCTTTGGGGCTCCCAGTGTCCCCACTGCTCTCCCCATACAGCCCTATCGCCTGTTTCCATGGCCTGATGCTATGTCCCTTCAAACCCTACAAGTTTCAAGGAAACACAACTACTCCCTGTCCCTTGAGCATTATCAATTTTTACGCATGTTTCTCCCAAGCTATCCTGAGGTAGACAGTATGGCTGAACCCACTTTACAGACAAGGACACACACACAGAGACATCAAGCCACTTCTCTGAGGCCACACAGCCTGGAAACACCCACGGACTGCACCGCCTGGTCTCAGGCAGCACTGCACGCACGGCTGGGTGGGGTCCAGGGGTCGCACCTGCATGAGCTGGTCATGGCGGGTGGGGTCAAAGTCGTCCTCAAGGTCCCGCTCCTCAAACCCCAGGGTTTCGTTGCCTGTGACCTGCCGCAGCCTCTCTAGCTTGGCTAGAATCTCTTTCCTTTTCAGGTTCTTCAGCTGCTTGAGTTCTTCCTGCTTCTTCGTTTTCTCCTGCAGGTGGCAGGCCAGGGGGAGAGTGGGAGCAAGGGCTCCCCCTGCACAGTGGGCCACCCTCCCCTGCCTGGCACCCCCACACTCACCCTCCTCTTCCGCTCCCGCGTCTCCTCTCTCTTCTCCTTCCTGCGCTCATCCTTGCGGCGCACGGAGGACGCAATGCTTCGAGGGTAGGTCTTGACCTACGGGCAACAGGGGAGCCCAGAAGGGCCACAGGGATGATTCTGGGCTCTCCCGGCCTGGGCCCCCAAAGCCCGGGTCCTCCCCAGCCCCAGCCCTAGTCCCACACCAAGGCCGAGTCCGGCTCCTCAAAGCGGAAGTTGTACTTGTGCTCGAAGTCCTCCTGCTTCTTCAGAAACAGCTCCCCCTCGTCTGAGGAATCGTCCACGGCTAACTGGACGGGGAGGCTGAAGCCCCTGAGGGACAAAAATGAGGCGGGGCTGGGGGGACAGCCGAGCCCCCATACCCCTGTGTACTCCCATATTAACGCATGGAATCTGCACAAGAGCCCTACTTTTGGGGCACCCCCATTTTACAGATAGGGAAACTGAGGCGCAGAGTCCAGGGACAGGGCCACGTAGCCCCAGAGCCCACATGCCGCAGCTCTTCCTCACAGGACAGTAACTCTGCCACCATCTGTGTGAAGAAGTAAACACCTGGTGCCCTTTACCTTCGGGCTAGCAGAGCTCCAGGCTCCTGAGGGACATGGCTGCTCACCCTTCCTCCTCTTCTGCCTCCTCTTCCTCTTCCTCGTCTTCCTCCTCCTCGTAGCGTTTGTTGAGGATATAATCCCGCAGGAACCGCTCTCCTTCATCCAGCTCTGGGTTGCTCCAGTATTCCTTGAGGTGGGTCTGGGGGAGAGGGGGGAGGGGACAGGACCCAGGTCAAGGACTTGTGGGCAGGGAAGGAGGGTGGGCTCGGCTCCACATGCACTTAAGTAACTAAAACTTCACAGCCTGTCTGTAAAGAAGGGGGGACAATCGCCATCTTACAGAAGTAGAAACTGGCACCCAGAGTGGGGCACACCTCAGTCTGGACATGATGGACTCTTGGCGACTGCCTCAAGGACTGGTTTCCAGAAAAAGCCTGGGGACCGACCAGACAGGAGAACTCACCAGTTCCTTCAGGGTGTCAGGGTTGTCAATCTCCTTCTGCCCCTTCAGCCACTCCACATAGTCTGCATCCTCCTGGGCCTGAGGGGATGCCAGCTCTGAGGGCCTGGGGACCCCTGCCCGCCGCCAAACCCCAGCCAGCCAGGCCTAGCTCCCACCTTCTCCTCTTTGGTTTGAGCACGTTTCTGTAGCAACCCGGAGCCACCTTCCCCGGCACTGTCCTCATCATCGCTGTCCTCCACGAATGCCCGGAAGCTGCCCATGTGAGAGAAAACGCCTCAGGAGACACAGCCCTGCCCACAGTCCCGAGATGAACCCTGTTTACTAAGTCCTGGGCTCCCCTCAACAAGCTCAGAGCAGCACTGTGACACAGAGGGTATCGTCAACCCCATTTAAGAGACGGGGAAACTGAGGCACAGAAAGACTAAGTGACGTGCCCAAGGGCACACAGCCATGAAGTAACAGGGCTGGATTTGAACCCAGGCTGGGCCTGTCCAATCCCAGAGCCTCAAGTCCGATCCATCTGGCCATTGAGCAGGCCCAGGCTCACCTTTCCTTGAGCTGTTTCTGTTCCTCTACGTAACTCTGCGACGAGATCTGCTGCAGAAAGAGCAACAGTGGGCCTCAGGCCCAGCCCCAGGCCCCTCAGCCCCCTGTCGGGCCCTCCACCCCACCTACCGGGAATCTCTGGTCAGAGCTCTCTGCGTCTGAATTTTCCTCGTCGACATATTTGCTGGGCAAGGACAAATAGGGGCTTCAGAGCAGACTCCCCACGGCCCGTCGGTCCCCCTGGGGTGGGGAGCTCTTACGAGCAGCCATGGGGGGCAGGGCAGTGCAGGTGGATCACGGACCCTCCCATTCTCTGGGAGCCCCTCAATCCTGGTTAGTCACCACCAGCTTCTTCCCACCTCTTCTAAGACCCCCACGCGTCAGCCTGCCCTGGGAAGGCTCGGGGGAGGGACAGGACGGGAAGTCAGGATCTCTCCTCACCCTTCTTTCTCCAAGATAACCTTCCTTTCGTAGTCCTTCAGGTACATAGGACGCATCTTCTTTTGCTTCTTTTCAGCTTCCTCAGCATCCTCGCTCTCTGAGGACGATACCGCTGGGTTGCCAGAAGACACCTGCCATCACCCACAACCCCCTTCCTTCCCCAGGCGGAGAATTCCCACAGGGTGGAGCTTGGGTCCGACCATGATTTCAAATGTCACACTTAAAACTACTCGGTAGTAGCTGGCTGTGCTCACTCAGTAACTTGTGCTTTGACCAGGGCTGAGCACACAGTCATTATTAACGAATAATAGTGTAAAACACTCCGCTAAGCACTTACAGCATAAAATGTAGAACATACATAGTTTGATGGTTCGTTAAATAGTCACACAAACCGGTAAGGCAACGAGGAACCTCTGGGCCCTAGGGAGGAGGAGCCCCAGACCTGTTTTCTGATAGAAGGTGGCATCCTTCTGATAAATGCGGGGGTCCTTCTTCTTCAACAAGGAGAGAGTTGTGTAAAAGTCACGCTCTTGCTGGGGGTCAAATTCCTAAGGCATGAGAAGGATCGGAGATAGACTTCAGAAGGGAGACAGTTGAGGGCCCTTGTGGAGGCTGGGGGCACTAAGTAACAAGGGCAGGTGGGTTGAGAGGGTGTGGAAATTAGGGTGGAGCCAGGAGTAAGAAGTGATCCAGCTGGACAGAGGCAGGTTGGGGGCTGGAGAGTAAGGGGGCAATGGGAAGATGTGAAACAGGTGGCAGAGGAAGAGGGGCCCTCAATGAGGGCGGACTGGGACAGGCCACACGAAGGTACAGGATCTGAGCTAGAGTAATGGGTAAGGGGAGGATACTTTCTGGGGACAAAGGATTGAGGTGGGGGCAGGTGAGCAGAGAGGACATAGGTGGGACAGCAAGCAGGGGCTGGGCGGCACAGTGAGGCCCCCAAAAGACCAGGCCTGATGTGAGAAGCTGAGTATCCCATGTGGCAGAAGGATGCCTCACTTCAGGGGCTGAGTCGGACCCTGACAAATGGTTAAACTCTTGGGAATGAAAGAGGGGACACAGAGGTCGCACCTCTCACATCGGGATGGGTAGGTGGATGGTGGCTGGAGAGGGGAGGTAGGAGGGCATGCGGCCACCCCCTGGGGATGGAGAGAGTGCTGTGTGTCCTTCATGGGATTAGGAAGAAGAGGATGGAAACTCCCGTAGGGTGAAATGGGGTTGGGGGTTAGCCGCCCTCTGTGTATCAGGGAAGCGGTGGGGGGGGGGGACTTGGATGCTTCCCGAATGTACGGCACCGGGGTGAGAAAGCTCACCACGCGCTCGTCGCTAGAGTCAGACTCGGAGCTGGAGTCGCCGCCGCTGTCCCGGTCCCCGTAGCGATCTTTAACTGCGGGGCACAGATGGGAACCCCCCAGATCAGCGTGGACCAGATGAGCCCCCACTTCCCGACGACCCGGCACGCGCCGCCGCCCCGCGCGCATGCGCCCCGCACTCACGCCGCTGCAGCTCCTCGCGCTCCCGGTAGCGGCCGTACCGCGCGGCAAACGCCGCGTTGACCCGCAGAGGCGACGACCCTCGCGATTCCGGCATGGCGGCTCTGCGGCCCACTGCGCATGCGTGCAGCGAGTGTTTTTTTTTTTTTTTTTTTTCCCCCCCCCCCCCCCCCCCCGGAAGGCGGGGCTACTCCCGGCCCCTACTAGCCTGAGAGGAGGCGGAGCCTCGCGGGCCGCGCCTAATCCTGTCCCCAAGCTTTCCGGGATCCCTTACGCGGTGCGACCACAATCCCCGCCCGTGGGTCACGCCTCTTCGAGTCAGACTCCGGCCACCGCCCACTCCCCCCCCCCCCCCCCCCCCCGGGGCTCCCCGCCCCCCGCTGACATCTGGGGGCCCTTTCTCCACTCGCGGTTTCCTGCCTCCCTTCCGTTCCGACAGTGTAAACCGCTGCCCCACCCAGCTCACTCACCTCTCGCACCCTGGGAATTACCACTCTCACCCCTCCCCCAAAGCATCCGCGACCTGCGACCCTTCTTCCGACCCCCTACAAACATACTGGACGCGCGGCTCTCCATCGCTTCAAAAATCAGAAGCCACCAGCTCTGTGATCATGCACAAGTCTTAATTTAATGGGTAAAAACATTAAGTTATCACACAACAATTTTTTTCCACAAAGCTTAATAAATAGAATCTTTTTTTTTTAAACGCTGTACAAGAGACTGGAAAACAAGCTTCCAACAAAATATGAACGAACTCATACTACCCTTCGATTCGAAACTCACCCCCCCCACCCCATGCCTGAAAGCAGTGTGTACACTTTGAGGTCTCTCTCTGGGTACAAGCCAGCCAAGGTCGCCAGGTTCCAGGAGCCCTGGAAGCGATGACCTCATTCTGGGGCTGGGGCTTTAAATGCTCTGCTCTTGGGCGTCTGCAGCCCCAGCAATCTGAGGCACAGAGAAAACGGAACCGTTTAGATGGCTGTTGTCGGCAAGAGCCCTTCTCTGCCCAGCACGTCAAAAGGGGTGAGAAAAACAAATGAGAAATGTCCCTCAAACACACACACCCCGCAAATCAACACCAACAAGCCACAAACGGGTGCCCCTCCCCTTTCGACAGTGGGCAGAAGTGAGGGGAGAAAGTGTTTCTTTCCTGCTCTCTTGATACAGAACCCGGCTGGGTCCTGTTGCAGGACTGGGTGGCCCTGGGTCACAGCAGCACCACCATATGCCCCTGCAGGATGTCCATGAGATCCTGGGCCCCTAGCCCCTGCGCCAGCTCCAGGGGTGTGAGGCCCCTGGCATCCCTGTGATGGAGATCAGACTCCACAGCCAGGAAGCTGACCACAGCCGTGTGGCCCTCTCGCACTGCCAGGTGGATGGGGAGCGCCCCAGTGCCATCAGGCACGTTGACATCAGCACCATGCTCTACCAAGACCTTCAGGGTGTCCAGGAATCCAGTGCGTGCCGCGTCATGGGCTGGAGTAGTGCCGGTGGCATCCTGGACATTGGGGCTGGCACCTTGCTTGAGGAGCTCCAAAGCAATGGTGGGGCTGCCGAACATCATGACCTGTGTGGGGGCCAAGGATAAGGGGTCTCAAGGGAGAGGTTCCAGGAAAAGGGGGTCACTGAAGAGAGGGGTCATTCAAACATAGGGAACACTAGAGATCTCCCAAAGAATTGGGAAACCCCAGAGAACACAAGCTCTCAGACAGCTGTTGGATACCCCAGAGAAAGACATCTCCTGGGAAGAGGGACCCCTCCCCAAGAAACTGGTCATCCCCTAAGGACAGGATAATCGTCTAGGGAGTAGCCTCCGTGGAAACTTTCAAGGAACTTAAAACCCTCCCCAAAGAAGCAGAGACATGCCCCATCCCATAGAGGAGATCGTTAAGAAATATGGCCCCCACCCCAGGAAATCAACCTCATAGAATGAAAACTGCCCTCTAAGAACTTGACAGGACTGAAGGGAAAGGAAGTGCCCAGGGAATCTGAAACCCTTTCTCTAATTAACAGCTCCTCCCATATAGTGAGGATGCTCCAGAGGGTGCTTGGGCCCCTTAAGAAATGTGGTTCCCCTGTAAAATGCCCCCCCCCAGGGAATAAGGACGCTCAAGCAATGTGTAACTGTGCCCCCATTAGGACTTTCCTTAATATACCAGAAATCTGGGGAACCAACAAACCCAGGAATGGAGATCTCCCCAAGTAACTGGATTCCTCTCAGAGAACCCTCCATTAAATGGGGAACCCCTGGAAACACGAATCCTTCTTTCCCGTAATTGGAAGGTCCAAGAAACTAGAGCCACCCCTATGAAACCAGGATCCAAAGAAGCTGAACTCATACCACGGAATAAGAATTTCCCCAGGGAAACTGAATCTCCCGCATCCAGAGAATAAGAAATCCTCCAGGAAAGATGGAAAGTCCTCCCCTCCCCCCAACCTAACCCCATCCATCCACCACCCACCCACGAAAAAAGGACATCAGGGAGCAACATCGGCCCAGGAAAAAAGGACGGGACCCCCAGTCCGCCACCACCGCGACCAGGAAACGTAAGGGAAAGGGTCTGGGGTCCCAGCCCCGCCCTCGCTCCGAGCCGGCCGGGCCTCACCTGCAGCGCCGTCTTGCCGAAGCGGTTCAGGGCGTCGGGATGCACGAGCTCGCAGTGCAGAAGGCGGCGCACCTCCTGCACGTCGCCCCGGGCCGCAGCCCCGGTTAGCCGGTCGCCGGCGCGGACCTCCTCCAGCAGCATGTCGACACTGGCAGCCTGCTAAAGCCCCGCCCCACCCCGGCGCCGTCAGTGCGGGGAAAGCCACGGAAGCCGGCCCGAAGATCCGCTCCGAGGCGCACCTGGCCCGCGCGAGGCTCCCAGCTCTGCTCGCCCGTCGGCTCTCCGGCGCGACCCCCGCCCTCCCAGCGGGCTCCTCCCCCCTCCGCCAGCGGGTCGCCGGGGGCTGAGAGCCCGGCCCAACCCTCCGCCGCCCGCACCGCCCGGCCGGGCGCCCGCCCCTTGGGGGCCGGGTCTCCCCCCAACTCACCCTCCCTCCTCCGCGACGTCTGTTCTGAGGCGGTGTCGAAGGCGCTGCCAAGCTGGCCGTCAGGGGGCGGTGCCGGCACGCCGGAGGCCCCGCCCCGAACGCTGCGGATTTGTTTTCTTACGAACTCGCTACACTGTAGCCCAGCCGCGTTGCCCGGCGCGCGACCCGCCGGCGCCCCGCCCACGCAGCCAGCGCAGCCAATGGCCGCGCGCCGCCGGGGGAGTTTTATGCTCCGGCATGGGCGGTGCCGCTCCTGATTGGCCGGGCCGCGGCGACCGGTGGGCCGCCGGCAATGGCGGGGTTTTCGGTTTTCAAACTCGCCAGGCGGGCGGGAAAGGGAGCTGATTTAACTGACCCGCGGGAGATAGGTCAGGGGCAGGGTAGCGCGGGCAGTCCAGTCTGGAGTTTCACCATTCAGTCACGCGATAAGCACTTATTAGCCCTTAGTCTGTGCAGAGAGCTTTATTTCACTCACTCGCCCACTGTGTGCTGGAACCCGCCCCGCGCTGGGGAGTGCACGTTCGGGCAACTACATAATTTTAGGTAGCGTTAGGCACCGTCAAGAAAATAAAACAGGGAAATGGAGTGGGTGAGAAGGAATCACGGTAGGGCTCAGATTGGACCAAACCTGGCACAGCAAATGCCATGGTAGAGACAAAATTTCACGCTGCCAGCTGCAGCCGCCACGTGGACGAGCCCAGGAGGCGAGAGTCGAGGTCGCAGGCGGCGCTTACAGACGTCTGCATTCAGACTTTTACTGAGCACCCTCTGTGCACTAGGCGCACTAACTGGAGAGCGAGCCGGCCAGGTGGTTCCCGCTGCAGGACCCCCACCATTTAGGTCGGAAGGAGACAGTAATGTGATCTTTGCAGGGTGGTAAACGCTATGGAGGTGATAAAACAGATAAGTGATAGTCTCTTGGGAAAGGAAGGCCGTTGAAACAGGTCAGGGAGGGCCTCCCCGAGGAGGTGATGTTTGTGATCTGAAGGTGAGGGAAGGAGCCCTATGAATATCTGGGGGTGGGGGATGTACATGGCAGGTGAAGGGCATTACAGTTGCAATGACGGAGGTGGGAGCACACCTGCCATGCACAGGAAACATGAGGTCTAGAGGCGGAGAGTGGGAGGGGGTGAAGACAGGTTAACCAGAAGGACGGGGAGCGCAGATAAGGCTTGCGGGCCGCACTGAGCATTTACGTTTTATTTTTCACGAGGGAACCCTGGGAGGGTTCTGAACGCCACAATCTGGCTTAGAAGAGGCGCCCTCTGGCTGCTACAAGGGAAACTGATGCTGGCGGAACAAGGCTGAAGCCCGGGCCCAAGGAGCTGGGGGAAAACTACACTGCCCCAGATGTTCCGTGCCTCGGCCTGAGGAACGGATCTGCGTTGCCCACTCCCATCCCAGCCCTTCAGCGGGTGTTCCTGGCATTCCCAGTCCCCAGCCAAGAATATACGCAGCAGCTAGATTCTTTTTTCTTTTTTTTTAATACCATCCTAAATCTCTGGGTGAGCCAGCATGGCCTCCGGGCTCAGCAGCTGTGAAGGAGGGGTCCCGACACCCCTAAGGCAGGTCACTGCAAGAAGGCACTCATGAGGGGAGTTTCAAGACCCTCCTCTATTTCTTCATATAAAATTGGAGGAGGGAGGAGCCCAGAGGCAAAAGGAGGTAGGGAGACTGTTCCTCCCAGCCTATGGGTGGAGGGAAAGGCAGGGAGGAAGCCAGGTGCTGGGTGCTGGGAGCAAGAAACTGTAAGTCTGGGGCCTTCCCTCGTACACATCCCCCATCTTCCTCCCTCTCAAGTCTACAGTCCCAGCCTGGGGAGAGGGAGGGCCCCATGTCCAAGTCCCCACCTCTTCTCTCTCCTAGCTGGTCCGAAGTTGATAATCTGCAGGGAAACAATAAGCAGGGACCATCTCCAAACTGGGGAAAGGGAACAGAGGGAAAGCACCCCTCCTGCCTTTATTCCCCACCCCAGTGCTCACGATCAACCCCATGGGTATGTAACAAGGCTAAGAAGGGGGTTCAACCCAGGGAAGGTAACCATAGCAACAAGCTTGTCTCCAGGTACAGATGGGGATGCTGTGTGTTCAGTCCTTTGTCCAAACCCTATCAGTACCCTAGAACTGGCAACTGCCCCCATTTTAAAGATGGGCAAAACGATGCCAGGTCTGTTGAATTGTGGTGCCCTCTGACCCAAGTGTGGCCAAAGCCCCGAGACCACCCTTTGGATCTCCTTGACCCAGCATCCCAGGGAGCCGGGCTGCCTTACCGCCACTTTGGGTGATGTAGCGAACCCATGGCAGGGCCTGGTAACCGCTTTTCTCAATGATCTTCATGTACCGAACCTGAAAGGGGATGAAACAAGGTGGCCCAGGTTGTGCAGCGAGACTGGCTGTGGTGAGGGAACTATATGTAACACAGCTAGGGGAGAATGTGGTGCCATGGTCTATGAATAGTGACATGGGCTGGGGCAAAGGTGTGGCACGGGCAGCAGGGGGAGGGGAGCAGGGAGGCAATCCAGGACACTGGGAAAGAGATGGCACAGTGTAAAGAAATAGATGCAGGGTGGTTTTGGGGGGAAGAGGTGGGCCAGGCCAGGGAATAGATGTGACCTGAGCCAAGGCATAGGAGAATGGGGAACCCACTGAGGCCAAGGAGGGAAGACACCTGCTCACACTCACCTGGATCCCGGAGACGGTGAAATAGGGGATCTCAAACTTGACCCCAATAGGGGGCCGACCCTCTACCTCCTCCTTCTCCACGCTGGGGAGGCCAAAGTGGGCACGCATCAGGTATTCCTTGCCCCCCTGAGGGCACATGGGGGCATCAGACACACCAAGAGGCCATCCTCCCAGCGGCCCCCAGAGTAGGCTCTGCTCTTTGTCCATTTCAGACCAGAAAGTGAAGCTTCCTGGCCAAGGTACAGCTGAAGCTTCTAACTATAAAGCCTGGTCAGAGGGCTTCTGATGACCACCTCCCCACTTTCCAGGCCCTAATGGATCCTCCCACTCCCTCCCACTCGCAGGGACAGACCAAATCCTCCAGTGGCCCAAGGATGAGGGTAACATGATCCTGTCTGTTTCATAGACGGGCAAACAGAGCCTCCATGAAGGGAAGTGGGTTTCCTAAGACTGTCTAGCTGAGAAGGCAAGGGAGAACTTGAACCCAGGGCTGGTTTCCTCAAGACCTGGGAGGCAGGGAGTTTAACCACCACGCTGGCCTGGTTTCCAGCTTTATGATCCCTAAAGGGTAACCATGTGCATACACACATGGGTCGCTGTTTGTTCTCTGGCATGCTTGCAAGCCGCAGGGGCAGGTCCCTCAGATCCCACACCCAGCCCAGTACTCACCGGGAAAGACTTAATACTCCAAATAACGACATTCTTTTCCGGCACGTACTTGGCACTGCCTACACTGGTCTTGAACTTCGGGGAGTCGGCGTCACTGGGCACGGGCACAGATATCTCCACGCCGTTGGCCACCGACTGCTTCTTAAACTGCCCCTTGGCCTGTCAGAGGAGAGGGTGTGGGGTGTGAAGAATCCACTCCTGCATCCTGCAAATATTCAGCAAGCCCTTTCCCCGCACGACCTCGGGGAGAGCCTCCGCAGTCCTGAAATGGGAACAATCAGCTTGCCCATTTTACAGATGAGAAAATGGAGACAGGGGAAGCTAAGGTATTTGCTTGGAGATGCACGGCCAACACGTGGCAAGCTGGGGGAGTCACACCCACAGGAGACTCCAGAGGCTCTGTTCTTAATGTTTGCAAAGTGTCCTATACCTTTGACTGGTCCTAAATGCAAATGATGCCCATCACAGAGGAGTTTTCACTTGAGAGCTGGCATTTAATGAGCCCCTAGCACATGCTGGGCCCCAAGCCAACCACTTGGTCCTCTCGCTAATTCCCTAAAGTAGGATCCATCCCTAAGGTCCATTTTACAGATGAGGAGAATGAGGCACTCTGTCCAAGTCAATTAGCTGGTACCTGACACAGCAGGGACTTGCTTTGGGCTTGGGTTGGCAACAATCGCATGTCTCACTTACAAGTCATTGAATAAGTTACACCACGCAAGAGAAGGAACAGAAAAGATCCCCATGGTGGGATACTCAACAGCTGTGGAAAGGGAGGCACGAAACTACAGCTTCTGGGACTCGTATTCAAATCAAGCTTATGCAAACAAAGCCAGTCGGTCCACTGATAGGATCAGAAACCGGCAGAACAAAATATTTATGGTTAAAAATGTGGGCAGTAGGGCGTGTGGCTGGCTTAGTCGGTGGAACGTGCAACTCTTGATCTTCGGATTGTGAGTTTGAGCCCCAGAATGGATATGGAGACCACTTAAAAATCAGTCTTAAAATAAAAATAAAAATTTCTACATCTTTAAAAAAAATGTGGGTGCCAAAATTATAAAGGGAATACGCTGAGGACTTTCTTTAAAACATGTAAGTATTTTATATATATATATATTCGCTAGGAAAGTAAATGAAACATGTCAGTTGGTGTTAAGTCATAGGGGAAAAATAGAGCAAAGAGGGAGGTGGGGAATGATAGGGGGTGGCAACTTTATTTTATTTTTTAAAGATTTCATTTATTTGAGAGACAGTGACTGAGAAACAGTATGAGCTGTCGGGGGAGGGAAGCAGGCTCCCCACTGAGCATGGAGCCGGACATAGGGCTTGATCCCAAGACCCTGGGATCGTGACCTGAGCCAAAGGCAGACACTTAACCGACTGAAGCACCCAGGTGCCCCATGGGGGTTGCAATTTTAAATAGGGAAATCAGGAAAGGCCTTTAAGGAGGTGACATTTAGCAAAAAAATTGAAGGAGATGAGGGAAGGAGCCATGTGGATATCTGGGACAGGGAAGGAGTATGATCCAAAGGGAACAGCCAGTACAAAGGCCCTGAGGTATGACCTTGATTGGCGTGAATAAAGAGGAAGCCGATATAGCTGGAATGGAGGGAGGGAGGGAGACAGTGGAGGGAGGTAAAGCTGGGGAGGTGACAGGGCAGACTGTCATAGGGCCTTGTGGGATGCCAGGACTTTGGCTTTTACTCTCAGTGAAGTGGGAGCCATGAAAGTTGTAGGCAGAAGAGAGATACAGTCAGACTGAAGTGCTCACAGGTGCCCTCTAAGGGAACAGACAGTGGGGGGCCAAGACAAGAGCTGGGAGACCAGGGCAGATGCAGTGGAGGGAGTATTAAGTGGGGCCGATTAGAGACCTATTTTGCCCAGGATTTGCTGGTGGTTTGTCTGTCTCCCTATCTGGCCTGCAAGCTCCTTGAGGACACCCTATTTTTATCTCTTCCTCTTGTCCCTTAGACCCCTCACAAAGTAGAGGCTCCATTAAAATCATAATATGGGGGCACCTGGGTGACTCAGTGGGTTGAGGCCTCTGCCTTCAGCTAGGGTCATGATCTCAGGGTCCTGGGATCGAGCCCCGCGTGAGCTCTCTGCTCAGCAGGGAGCCTGCTTCCCTTCCTCTCTCTGCCTGCCTCTCTGCCTATCTGTGATCTCTGTCTGTCAAGTAAATAAATAAAATCTTAGTAAATAAATAAATAAATAAAATCATAATATGAATAGCAAATACTCTGTCCATCATTTACACATTATTGAGAACCTACTACATGTCTGACCCTGGGGAAAAGAAATCCACACCAGGAAGAAGTAGATGTGACGGTCAGCAGAGCAGAGACCAGAGTGGGTGGGAGAGGGTGAGGGCCCATGCTGTGGGCAAGGCTGCTGGGACAGCAACCCAGGCAGAAGGAAGAGCCAATGCAAAGCCCCTACAGGGAACTGTGCCTGACATGTTTGAGAACCAGCCAGGAGACCAGTGTGGCTGGAGGGGAGTGAGGAGCCAGGAGATGGGAGAGATGGGGTTAGGCTGGTGATTTCAGGGTTGGGGGGGGGGGCAGACCATGCACTTTGAAGAATTGTTCCCCTGGGCCTACCTTGACCATGATCTCCACGCGGCTGTGGGAGAACTTCTCAATGACGGACTCAATCCAGATCAATGGCTTGACCTACAGACAGCAGAAAAGGGAGTTCTTGGAGGTTCTAGGGCCTTTTCTCACCCCCATAATGGGGCTTTCCCCTGCTTCACCTGGGTGCTGAGGCGGTAGGACATGAGCTCAAAGTCGCCATCAGGTGGGATGAAGGAGATGGTGCGGTCATTGTCAAAGCGAGAGAGCCGCACACACTGGTGGAATTTCACGTCCTCCAGCTCCACGGACTTGTTCTTGCTGCCTGAAACTCGGAGCCAAGCGGGCCGGCAGGTGACCCTGGAGGCCTGGCCCAGAGACCCTACCCCAGATCTCTACCCCTGTTTCCTTCCCTACCACTTGCCATTACCTGCCATTTTACAGGTAAGGAAACTGAGGCCCAGAGAGGGTGAGTAACTTGCTGGGGGTAACCCAGCTGGCCAGAAGCAGCGGGGCAGAGCTAGAATCTGAACCCATGGAATCTGGCTCTTGCTGTCAGGTTTTTAAATAGGATACTATTCCGACCTCCTACTCCCACTGGAATGTCAGCTCCACAAGGACAGTGATTTGTCTTTTTCAGCCTTGTACTTGAGCCAGACACCCAATAATGAAGCACTGTTTACGCCAATGAGCCAGCAGCGCAGCACTGGCCATGACCAGCAGAGGGCACTCGAGTGCTTATTTCAGAACTGGCTGCATTTCTCTGGGTCCCTGGATGGGATAGGGTCGCCTCCCTCCCATTTCCCCTCCTCCAGAAGCTTACGGCCAGTGAGCTCAAAGAGCACTCGGTCGTTGAGGCCAAGCCGCAGCTCTGGCATTCCCGACAGAAACACCTTGAGCTTGATGGTGCCCACGATCTCGCTCAGCAGGACGCTGCCGTTAGCGTTGACCTGAGGATGCACAAACAGGGGGTCAACAAGCACAGGGGCTCCTCTGCTGCCTCCAGGCCAGGGAAGGAGGGGGGCTCACCAGCAGGTTGACAGACTCAATGACATCAATGAAGACCTCATTCTTCTTGTACTTGATACCCTCGGAGCGCCAGGACACAGCGTTGGTGACAGTGGGTGGCACCCGAGATTTGCCGGTCTCCAGCTTGTTGCCCTGCTGCGTGATGTACCTGTCAGGAGGTCGGGGCGATGACTAGCTGGACCCAGGAATGCTTCCCAGACCCTCCTGGACTTCTTTTCATGAGTGGGTCCCCCCATGGCTGCCCACTCACTCCTGTAGAATCTTGCTGTCCGTGGTCTGTGGGAAGCCAAAGTCCATGAGTTCATCCAGCAGCTCATAGACGATGACAAAGTTGTCACGGATGCTCTCCTCCTCCAGCTCCTTGAAGTACTCAGAGAACACCTGGGAGTGCAGGGAAACAGACACCAGCAGAGGTGTGGCTGGGGCCTCATTCATCCAGCCAGCAACTATTAAGTGCCTACTGTATACCAGCACTGGGACATTAAGAATTCAGGGACTCCACGAGCTTTAGGGGTTTGGGACCCCCAAGTTCAGAGCCTCTGGGAAGTGGCTGGCATAACCACAGCAGGAACCTACCAGTCATCTGACATTCAAAAAACCCTCCATCCCTCATTTTTCCCCAGCCCCACTGGCCTTCTCTCTGTTCTCACCTGGGAGTCTTTGCATATGCTCTCCCCTCTGCCCAGGACATTCTTCTCACAGTGGGCTTCTTGTCATTTGGGACTGAGCTCAAATGTCATCTCCTCAGTGAAGCCACGACCATCCCTCCCCGCCTCCACCTTGAGTGTCAAGGTGAGACTAGCACCCCAGTCTCCAGTTCTCATAATGTCCCGTTATTGGGACCTCCTTCATGCCCTTTGACTCCTTGGGACAGGCAGGGACTGTGCCTCTCTTATGCACAGCTGTATCCCCTCTCTGCTTAGCAGGGGACAGATCAATACACATTCCTTGTTTGTTGAAAAGTTATTTCCTGGACACCTTCTCAGTCATTGAGAATGGCATCTAGCAAGCACTCCAATTATTATATGACTCTATAAGCAGTACTAATGCTAACAATACCAAACTGTTATTGAGCACTTACTGTATACTAGGCACTGTTTTAGGGACCCATAAATATGAATTTGACTAATGTGTCCAACAACCCTGAGGCAGGACTTGTTGTAACTCCCAGTTTAGAGACAGTGAGAGAAATGACTTGCTCAAGTTCACATGGCCAGGGAGCGGGGAGGGCGGTGGTGGGGGGCACCTGGGATTGGAACCCAGTTTTTTCTGGCTCAGATCTGAGCAGTGCACTGTCTTAGAAACCTCCTTGGTCCTTGCCCTACAGGGAGAGAGATGATGCCCTAGCAGCTAATGAGAACACAGAGATGGGACTTTGACGGAGGTCAGGGAAAGCTTCCTAGGAGAAATGGATCCTGAAAGAGAAGGGCAAATCGAGTGGATGGACAGACCAGCTGGCCAATGGGAAGGCAGAACCTACCTCCACCGTCTTGTAGAGGAAGGAGTACACGAGGGAGGCGTTGGCGTTCTTCAGTGTGGTGGCCACCACTGTGGGCAGCAAAGTTAAGGAAAAGGTGCCATTTTGGATGTCTCAAATGGAGCATGGATCCTAAAACCTCACCTGTCCATCCCTCCCCAACCCGAACCACTGATGTGCTGTGCAACTTCTGTCCTCTGTCCACCCTCTCTGGGCCTGAGCCACCACCATCCCAGGCCTCCAGGAATCCTGCTAAGGGCCGGATACAGTAGAGGTTGCTGTGTTTGATCCATAGGAAGTGGACCCGGCCATGGCTCAGCAATGGGGCCAGGGCACCCTCCTCTTCCTGCTGCATGAGCAGAGGCATGAAGTGCTCGATCTCACTCATGGCCACATCGCCCTTGTAGTTGCGGCTGATCAGGGGCTAAGGGTGAGCAGAGAAGTCCTGGTCACCACAGGGGTCTGGGCCCCTTCATCCAGGGGCATCAGAGAGAGTGCCTGGTTCTGACTCTACTTCCTGGCTGCCAGGCAGGGGCAAGACTGCCGCTCTGTCCCTCAGTTTCCTCCTCTGTAAAATGGGAGCATGATAACAACAGCAAACGTGTCCAGAGTCCTCAGTGCGGACCAGCCGTGTCCTACTACAGACTGGACGTTTGCTGACTGATTTGCATCTCACTGCAGTCTGCGGGGCAGGCAGCATCACCATCTTCATGTGTCTTCATCTGAAGAATGGAGACCCCCAGGTGTGAACCAGGTCTCTTAACAGGTGGGGAAACCAGGAATGGAACCAAGACACAAGGGTCCAGCATTCCAGCTCCTGCCCAAGGCTTCACAGGCACCAAACTGGTGAGGTGGGGACGACAGAAGGGAAGGGAAGGGTGGGGAGAAAGGAAGGAAGGAGGCAAAGAAAAGAGAAAGATTCTAGAAAGAAAGAGAAAAATACCCTTATAGGTGCTGTTTGGCAGGCAGTAAGCACTCAATACCAACAGTCCCTACTTCCTGAGCTGTTTTAGTCCAAGGTTGAGAACCCCGAGGGGGCAGAGCTGGTCCTCAAACACCTTAGCTTTCACCACCAGTTTTTATGGATATGAAATGACAAGGCAAATGAGAGGGGGCTTTGGAAAGGGACAAGGCAGCCCCAAAGGGGAATGAGGGTCTCCTGCCCCTGTCTTCCCCCAAATATGAATTGTGTGGATGATTGAGACGGTGATAGAAAGAATTTCAATGAACTGAACAGCTCCTGTTTGCAGCTGGGTTCTTGTGCTAAGTAGTTTACACTCATCCAGCTGTATTCTTATTGGGTGGAGACCTCTTTATTCCCATTTTTACGGACAGGGAGACTGAGGCCCAGGGAGGCAAAGCCCCCGGCCCGCACGCGGCTGGGAAACAGTGGAGGTGGGATTCCACCCGGGACTTCCAAGGATTGGGGGAGGGGTGTTCCCACGCTCCCAGAGCTTTCTGGAGCCTCCCTGCCCGCGAGGAGTGGCCGCCCCTGGATCCAGGGGAGCGCAGCCTCACCTGTCCTTCCCCACCCGCATCCCCCGCGCCCGGCCCACCTTGCCCTTGACGTCGAGGATGAAGACAGCCGAGGCGGACATGGTGGCAACCGGCGAACCCGGGAGGCGGGGAGGGAGCGCCGGGAGGCGACGGCGGCGCCGCTTCCTTCTTCCTGCGGAAGCGGCCCCGCGCAGGTGAGCGCCCAGGTGAGAGCGTCTTAAAGGGGAGGCCTCCAGGTGAGCGGCGCTGTTGGCCGACGCGGAGACGGCTGCAGGGCGGGGCCTCGGAGGGGACCGCTTTCCAGCCTCACTTTCCGTTTGCACCCAGGAGAGCTGATGGGAGGAGTCTCCAGACCAACCAACCATCCCTTCGTCCACCCAGCCAGCCACCCACCCACCCTCTCATCCCCCACCCATTTTTCCCACCCACCCATCCATCCACCCTCCCATCCATTCGTCCACCCAGCCACCCGCTCACTCCCCCCCCCCCCCCGACCCATTCATCCCCTCACCCATTCATCCATCTCCATCCGTCCACCCATTCAAGCATTCATCTTGTTTCTCTTCAGTCTCCCCACATGCACACCTGGCCCAATGGAGGAGAGATTTTATCCTGTTTTTGTCTGTGTCCCCAGTGCCCCACACTGGGTACTCGATATCTGTCCAGCTCCGTGAAGAGGGGAGAAAAAAAAATGCATTTGTGCAAATCGTTCATGCATTCATTTATTCATACATACAATAACTATTTACTAATTAATTTATTCTTCTCTCAGATATTTACTGACTAGTACATTCTTTCACCGAGGAACTATGGGTAGAACTTGGAGCAGAACATATGTAACCGCTTTTATTATTATTCCTAATGTACTCTTAGTCGTTCCAGTAAAGTATTTATAAACTCCTGTTATGTGACACTAAGATGTTGATAGACTGTTGAAAAGATCAATGGTCATTATTATTGGGACTGTATTATAAAGTTATTCACTCAACAAGCATTTATTGAGCACCTTCTGTGTACTGCGCCGAACACATGGAGGCTGGTAATGCTGCTGTTGCTACTGATTCATGCATGCAGTGAGTGAATATTTATCAAGCAGCCCTGTACCACTATGGATGGCAAACAGACCAAGCCCCGCCACTGCTCTCTGCAAGGGAGGGTGAGAGGCACACAACGTAAAAACCAAAAGACAAGATGACCTCTGATCATGACTAGAGATCATCTTGATTGTCTCAATCGTGATCATCTCTGATCAAGAAGGCAAGGGAAGGGCACCCGGGTGGCTCAGTCCATTAAGCGTCTGCCTTCGGCTCGGTCATGATCCCGGGGTCCTGGGATCGAGCCCCATGTTGGTTGGGGGGAGGTCCCTGTTCAGTGGGGCATCTGCTTCTCCTTCTCCCTCTGCCTGCTGCTCTGCCAACTTGGGCGCTCTCTCTCTCTCCATCGAATAAATAAATAAATAATCTTTAAAAAGAAAATAAAGGGGGGGGGCGCCTGGGTGGCTCAGTGGGTTAAAGCCTCTGCCTTCGGCTCGGGTCATGATCTCAGGGTCCTGGGATCGAGCCCCACGTTGGGCTCTCTGCTGAGCGGGCAGCCTGTTTCCTCCTCTCTCTCTCTGCCTGCCTTTCTGCCTGCTTGTGATTTCTCTCTGTGTGTCAGAAAAACAAAATCTTTAAAAAAAAAAAAAGGCGGGGGGAAGAAGAAAGCAAGTGAGCTGGTAGCAGGGTGCAGGGGGCGCTATGAGAACAGAGAGATCAGAGAAGGGACTGACATTTGGAAATTTCCCACCATGTCCCTCAGAGCAGGAAGAAGACAGCGGAAAGAGTCTTCGGGCAGAACCTGCACAAAAGTGAGTACTGATATTGTTTTTGTTGTCTTGTTTATATGTGCTAGTACAGCACGAGGCCTTGGGAACCAGCTGCTTGGGCTCGAGTCCAGGCTCTGCCACCAGCCAGCTGGGTGAACTCTCGGACACCTGCTCTGCCCTGCCGCACATCTCTGAAAGAGGGTCAACTGCTCTTACATCCTTAGGTTATCATGCAGATGCTTGGGTCATTACCCCCAGCACGACTCTTGGAACAGACCTGGGATGTAGCCAACACTCAGTAATGTTGTCGGTATTATTTGCTATCATTGCCATAATTATTTACTGTGAAGCAGTTGAGAATACAGATGGCAGTGGGATGCCTGGGTGGCTCAGTCTGTTAAGTGTCTGCCTCTGGCTCTGTCATGATCCCGGGGTCCTGAGTTCCAGTCCCACATCAGGCTCCTGGCTCAGCAGGGAGTCTTCTTCTCCCTTTCCCTCCTCCCCTCTCCCTGCTCCTGCTCTCTCTCTCTCCCTCAAATAAATAACTTTTTAAAAAGATTTTATTTATTTATTTGACAGGCAGAGATTACATACAAGTAGGCAGAGAGGCAGGCAGAGAGAGGAGGAAGCAGGCTCCCTGCTGAGCAGAGAGCCTGATGCGGGGCTCAATTCCAGGACCCTGGGATCATGACCTGAGCCGAAGGCAGAGGCTTTAACCCACTGAGCCACCCAGGCGCCCCTCAAATAAATAATTTTTTAAAAAGAAAAGAAAAGAAAAAAGACACAGGCACACACTCATCCTTCCTTCCTCCTGCAAACCCGGCCCCACAACTTTATTAGCCTCTGGGGGTGTGGTGGGTGTCCCCAGAGGGGACTCGAGGGAGGGAGGCGAGGACAGCAGATGCTGCTATCAGAACTACCCACTCGTCTCCCAATGGGCCTCTAACGCGGATGATATCACAGCAATGGCTCCCCAGCCTAAGTGCGCACTTGATCACGAGCACGGCTCTCCTGCTACATCTGTCTTCTGCGATTTTCTTTTTATTTATTTTATTTACTTGTTTGTTTGTTTGTTTGATTTTGCTCTTTGATTCTGATCTTCCCACTTTGCTTTTCCTGATAATTCAGGACCCGAGGGGGAAGACCTTCTATGTCTTCTTTCACTGGAAGAAGCAGAGGCCCAGAGAGGTCAAGCCACTTGCCCAGGGCTACACAGCTGTGAGGCAGTTGGGTCAGAACTTGCACTTAAGTCCTGAAGAAGGTCAAGCGCTTAATCCCCACGGACTCCCAACAGCATTGCCAGGTACCAGTATTCCTATTACTAACAATAGCTCACACCCATGGGGTGCTCACCATACCCAAGCCCTGCCGGAAATGTCTCCCCTGTGGGAGACATACTCAATGCCTGAGTGAGGAAGGCCTGTTATCTCCGTTTGACAGAGCATTGCCAAGGGGTGGAGAGCAACGGACCGACTTGGACAAAGTCACTCAGTGACAAAGTCACTCAGTCAGCAGTGGTGGAACGGGATTTCCAGCCCCGCACAGTCCAAGGTTTTATGTTGTCTTTGCTCAAAAGAGGGGGATTGCCACCACTCTCCTTCCCACCTGCCCCCTGCTCAGAAGGTGACTCAGGGGGATGGTGAAGGCTACCGGGCCCTTGCCCCAGCCCACGATCACTGAACCTCCTGGGTCCCTGAGATTTTTTTTTTTTTTTTAAGATTTTATGTATTTATTTGATAGACAGAGATCACAAGTAGGCAGAGAGGCAGGCAGAGAGAGGAAGGGAAGCAGGCGCCCCGCTGAGCTAAGAGCTCGATCCCAGGACCCTGGGATCCTGGATCCCAGGACCCTGGGATCCTGACCCCAGCGGAAGGCAGAGGCTTTATTTAACCTCCTGAGCCACCCAGGTGCCCCTCCCCGAGATGTTTTTCAGGCAGTAAATAGAACCCAAAAGCCCGGGCCCAGAAGCCCTGGAATCTGAAACTTAAGGTCTGTTTGGCTGTAAAATGCACGAACCCGAAAGCTTTAGTGGGGGCAGAGAACAGAGTAGCTCTGTGTGCCCCAGGGCCCCGCCTCCGCTGTCCCCAGGGGCTGTGGCCTTGCCCCAGTTCCTCCTAGAGGCCTAGAGCCCGCCCCAGCCTCCCCTCTGGGACTCTGCCACTGGGCCTCTCTGCACCCCCTTCAGTCCCTTCTCCACCTTACTCAAGGGCGTGGTCTGAAACTTGACACTCCCTCCCTCTACGATCTCCCACGGCTCCCGTCGCCTTTGAGCGGCAGAGGCCAGTACAGTGATCTCTCTCCCGAGCTGCTGCTGTTTGAACCCACTGCCCCAGACACACTGACTTCTTAAATTTCAGTTCCTCTCTCTCTTTCCCTCATTCCTCCGGCACCTAACCACACAGCACAAAATTGCCTGCTCCTCTTTGCTTTTTTTAGGCTTTTTCTCAAGCCGAAATAACGTCTCCTCTTCAGGAAGCCTTCTCTGATCTCTCAGCCCGTGTCTAGGTCACGTCCCTCCTCTGGGCTCTCTCCACTGTTCCATCCTCCCCTGTCACAGCTGTGTTGCACACACGTTTTTTAAAAATCTATTTTCTTTAAACTTTAGCTATCTAACATAAACTTGACCGTTTTATCCATTTCAAGTGTACAATGCAGAGACATGAACACATTCACAGCATTGTGCCGCCCTTAACCACCATCCTTCTCCAGAACTCTTTTCATCTCGAAAAACTGAAACTCTGGGCCTTTAAAACCCTAAGTTTCCCTCCCCCTCCTCCTCCCCAGCCCCTGGCACTCACCATCTACTTGCTGTCTCCCTGAATTTATTCCCCTAGGGAGTTCATAGCAGTGGAATCAGACAGCATTTATCCTTTGGTGACCAGCCTGATAAAACCAATTTTTAAAATATATTTTAATTTTACGATTTTTTTAATTGAAGTGTCGTTGACAATGTTATATTGGTTTCCGGCACAGAACACAGCAAATCAGCAATTCTGTATCTTATGCAGTAAGTGTGGCGTTGCCATCTGTCACCATCTAATGTCATTACGATCCTATTGACTGTGTATTTCCTGGGCTGTCCTTTTTAATCCCCATGACATAGGTGTTCTATAACTGGAAGTGTGTGCCCCCTAACCCCCTTCCCTTATGTCTCTCATGTACCCACTCTTCCCTCTCTGGCCATTACCCATTTTCTGTATTTATCATCCTGTTCCGATTTTTTTGTTTGTTTGTGCCTTTGTTGAGATGCCACATGGAAGTGAAATCACATGGTATTTGCCTTTCTCTGACTGATTTCCCTTAGCATAATACCCTCTAGGTCTGTGTATGCT